GGTTAGAGGAACATATAATGTATCATGTGTTATTTTTCGTGTGAGGTTACATATGCATCATGGTACGATCAAGATTTTATAAACCCGATATGGAAAAGATATAAATTTATTTATAGTGTAGAAGCATGATAAAACAAGATAATTTCAGAAAAACTGGACACGCGTATCTGGGTGCAGTAATGTGATGCAGTAAGCACGTTTTTATTGATGTGAAAAAAATATGGATACATTACATTCACGAAGCAATCATTTTATATTTAAAACCTCAACAATCACTTGATCAATATTATCTAAGGATAGATTAAAAATAGATCTTGATAGAATAGATCGAATTTGTGATATTTTTGTTTTCCCTCCAGTACCCATAAATAGCTTATATACCTTCTCGACTCTTTCCTGGTAAATTTTAATTTCTCGGGCTTCGTGATCTAAATTTAAAAAGTAGATATGATAATAAATAATAGATATCATAATGGAAGTTTGGTTACCAGTAGCAAATGTCTCATACTTATTCGTTTCTAATCTCGGACGCATCAAGAACAAAAAAGGTATAATATTTAGACTAAATCCTTGTAAAAGGCAAGGTTATATACGAATAGGATTAAAAATTAATAATGTTTATAAAAATTTTCACTGTTCATATTTTAGTTGCGCAAACATTTATTCCTAATCCAGAGAATAAGCCCCATGTTAATCATATCAATGGTATTAAACATGATAATCAGGCCGATAATTTGGAATGGGTAACTCCCAAAGAGAATGCTGAATGTAGGGTATTCCCAAATCCTGGTCGTAACAGATCCAGAAAAATCGTGCAGAAAACGTTGGATGGAAATTTTGTTCAGATTTGGGATTCTATTAGCCTTGCAAGTAATACACTTAAAATCGCAATATGTTGCATTTCCGAATGTTGTAGTGGGAAGCAAAAAACCATTGGTGGCTGGCATTGGATGTATTATGAAGATTACATAGAACCCGATCCCAATGAAGAATGGAGAGAAATAGAACTTGACTCACGAAGATTCAGAGTATCATCTCTCAGAAGAATTCAGTTAGCAAATGGTGTAATCACCCAAGGTTCATTGCATATAGGTTATCGAAAAATCGCTCGAAAAGGATATTTTGTTCATCGCTTGGTGGCATTAACGTTTTGTCCAAAAGAAGAAGGAAAAGAATATGTAAATCATATTGACGGGAATCCTACCAACAATAAAGTATCCAATCTCGAATGGTATACACAGAAAGAAAACGCTCAACATGCAGTACGTCTTGGGCTTCAGCGCCAACGTGTTGTCAAATAGATTTTTGATGATGAATCTTTCTGAGAATTTCCATCCATAGCTGAAACACGGTGTGTTACTGGAATTAATCATATCTGGAAGATATTTTGAGGACTTCAAACTCGAGCTGGAGGGTATCGTTGGGAGTATGTGGCATAAATAGTGTTTCGAATTATTAAATCTTTACTTTCTCGTCACATTATAAATAGGCTATTTTTGACTACATCGTCGTTGAAGTTTTTTAGGATGCTATATGCGAGATTTTTTAGATTAGTAGTTGAGACTTTT